GGGAGGAAAGGCGGGCGGGCACCCGGGCTGGGAGGGACCTGCCGTACCCGTTCCGATGCTGACCACGGCTCCCAGGCCCTCGCTCCCGCGGCGCAGGATGACGGCGGCCAGGATCTTGCGGCCGGGCAGGCTGTGCGGGACGCGGGCGGTCAGGGCGTTGAGGCGCTGGTGGCTCAGCATGGCCAGCTGGTCGTGCAGGGTGCTGCCGCTCACCGGGAGCTGCGGGAGGGACGGACACGGCTGCAGCGGACGCAGCGCACGGGCTGCGGGACAGCGCCGCAGGCCGAGGCCGAACGCACACGCTCTGCTGCCAGCGCGGGGGTCAAGGGCCTTTCCTTTGGGTATTTCCGGGGAAAATCCCGTTGGATGGTTGAAGTTCTGCTCTAGGGACATCATCACCACCCTGGTGGCGGGCTAAGTGGGCTGAGGGAGGGACTCCTGGGAGCGCTGTGGGGAAGCCCCATTGCAAACCCCAACAAAACCAGCCCGTTTCCCTGAGGCTCATCCCAAGAATCTGCTACCAGCTTCGGAGAAATTCTCTCCCCGGCTGGCTGGGAGGAGACAGCAAAGCTGCTCCCATCCCAAATGGGCACTCGCCTCTCCCAGCATCACTCTGACTGACACCTCCTCCCCATGGCTCTGCTATTTAGAGCCACAGCTGCCGTGCTCAGCTGTGCAGCCTGGATCACAGCTTTTAAGGGATCACAGAACTCCAAGTGTGATTTAAAGCAGTACAGATTTGGGGCTGCCATCCTGCCAGCACCAGCACTTTGCTCTTATCTGATGCGCTTTTTCTTAAGTTGACAGAGAATTTTTAAAGCTCTACCAGGGAACCTGGAAAGGAGAGTCACAAAAGAAAAGAGAGCGTGTTCCTGCTTCACCACAGGAGGATATTCCAAGAGGTCACGGATAAATTTGAAGATAAATTAGCCCAAAAGCAGTCACCAGCAGGAGGGAAAAGTACAAAAGTACCCCTGAGAAAACACCTAGCCCATTTCAGGAAAGCAGCAGCGTACTGACACCGCTAGAGAACAACGATGTCACAGCTCCATCTTGGAGACATGTTTCTGCTGGGCTGATGGGCACAGAACAGCAAGGGATACAAAAGCAGTCCCAGATCCACAGGAAGAGGATTTACCTCTGTGATGGCCACCCCTTCCATGCGCTTGGCCTTCTCCGTTTCCCCGATGAGGATGCGGAGCGCTGCATCGGCCGCCTCCTGCTTGCCCTGCTTTTTGTTGTGTGCAGTTACAGCAGGGAACCAACGTCCTCCCAGCTTCGCCTGATAGATGAACCTACAGAAGGAGCATTGTACTGATGAGAAATTTGTAAATGTACGGTTTTCAGTCTGTTTTTTAAACTCTCTCACTGAGGGTAGTTCACTATCATCTGAACATAAGGTTCGACAGAAGCAGCAGCCTGCGTCCACCTCTAACCGCATCAGGAGTTTTGCATTTTCTGCATGAACCTACCCTTTTTTCAGGACAAAGCAAACAAACAAAAGGCAGCTACTTACTTTGGGTCATGGGGAGGTCCTGACTGGTCAATGAGTTTGAACTCTGCAGCAAACCCGTTGGCGCGGGCATATTCCAGCAGGCCACTGACAGGATTGACATTAAGGTATTTGACGAGCTCCCCAACGCCCTTGGCTTTCGCTGCCCTGGATTCGTCTGGAGGGGTGATTGGTGCTCCACAATTCTCCACGGACTGCTCACCGTGGAATTCCTTGGCAGGCTAAAGCAGAGTTAGACAGCAGAAGGCTGTTAAATACTAAGCAGCACATGATGTTGGGTCATATCCAAGAGAATGCAAAATAAAGAGAGAAAGAACAATGTGTGTGGCTCAAAGAGAAGCTCTCTGTACCTGTTCAGGCAAGACATGTGGCCCAGGCTCTCCAGAAAGTATCTTCACAGCAACTTCTGCTGCCATCTGCTTCGCTCCCTTCTTGCTGGTGCCTACCACAGCAGGGAAAACCTGGTCACCCATTTTCACGCAGAAGCTGAACCTGACAGGACATTACAGCACATGAAGAATGGTAAGCACAGATGCCTCAGGCTGTTTATTATCACCTTCTCTCAGTTGAACTTGGACCCTTCTGGGTTTTCTCTAATTTAAAGCTACCAGGATGGTCCTGAACACTGCAAAATTTCAGTCAGACCTATCGGGTTGGGACTAGAACCTGGTCCTGGTTTTGTAGGAGGAAGAGCATCCTCCCTCTCTGAGAAAGGGCACTGTTTTTGATCCCTCTCGGGAGACCAAGATGCTGAAGAAGCCGCATCTAGATTTTCTGGCTAAAAAAAACCCATCAGCTAGGTCAGCACCAGGTACAGGAATGCAAACAGTGTGGTAAAGAGAGGCTGTTAAAGAAAGGGCTTCCATTCTCCCCAAAGTTTACAACAATTTGCCGTACTTAGGATAATGCGGAGGACCTTCCTGAGAGAGCAGCTGGAATTCAATTGTGTTCCCTGATTTTTGCCCATATTCCATTATTACGTTGACAGGGTTCTTCCCAGGAGGCAGGTTCAGCTGAGCTGGCACAGATGGCGACGCCGGCTCTGGGTTCGAAGGCTACAACAAAAAGATGAACAAATCCAAGTTGAGACTCAACTCCAGTTGAGCAAGCACAGAAATAAATAGCACAAGACTTACCAGTTCTGACGCAGAATTGTCCGGGGGAAGCAGCTCTTCACATTTAATTCTACTGGATTTTCCATCCTCTGCTTCATTCATCAGGACCTTCATAGCGTTAGCAGCTGCCTCCTGCTTAGCCTGTTTTTTGCTACTTGCTTCTGCTGGTGGGAATCGGCGCCCGTTGATCACGGCCTGGAACTTAAACCTTTGAAAGAAGAGAGGGACCGAGACAGGTTAATCAAGAGCAGGATCTGCTCGGAGCAAGCAGCTAATGCTGTCCTTGGACTTCAAGTGAGAAGCAGCAGCTAACAACCAGGCACGAAAACAAACCCAGGTCACGCCGGGCATGAAGGACAAAACATCAGAAGATGCCCTGAAAGCTCCGCGTCTTGGCCATATTTCACACCTGCTCAAAACAGACTCAGCAGCTACAGATTTAGCTCCTAACTAACGAGTTGTGCTGACAGCAAGCCAGGACGTGCCATGGCCAAACACAAAGCACAGTTTGGTCCCGTCTCCTGCACGGGGAAGAAGGAAGCTCAGAAGTTTGCGCTCCTGCAGCCTGTGCTGTTCCACCTGCACCTGGTCAGTCTGAGTCAGTGTTTTCTCCAACTATCCAGAAGTGCTTGGGAGCTTCCCGGGACACTCGCACCGTTCCAGAGCGGTGCTGCCTCATGTCAACCTCCTTCGTCTCTCCCAAGCTCCTGGTGAACTCTAAAAGCAGCAGCTTCTCTTCCAGCCCCACGCGGGGAAAAAACTACTTCCAAAGAAAGTGAATCCAACTACCTCTGGGGATGGATTGCCGGGGCTAAAACCATTTTGATCTCTCCTTACAAGAAAAGCCTGGGACTCTGCCTTTAGAAATTAGGCCAATTTTCCTGTCTAGCGGATCTATTGACGTATTCCACTGCAGCACATATGGTGCTTTTCCCTGTCTCACTGGTGCTTGGAAACAGCCACAGTTTGGCACAGGGAGGCAGGATGCCTCCAGAGACCCACATGTGTCACGAGACACGGCGTGGGGCGCAGCCAAATCCAGGCTGCGCAGGGTTAAGTTTTAGCCCTGCAAACGAGGACACACACACAAAGTTGCCGTGAGGAACCAACCATTCCTGCACAGACAGAGCAGCGTCTGCACAACCTCTCTCCTCGGGACACTGTCTCCAGCAGCTGACCTGGCATTTTATTTTTATCCCATTCCTCACAGCAGCAATTCCTAGAGTCAAAAAGGAGCTGCAAGCAAACAGGCAAAAAAAGGAGAGAGAAAAAAAAAAAAAAAGAAAAGAAAAACCCATATACACACACACAATCACACAATTCCCAGAATTATTCCAAAACAGAGCAAACATTAACGAGCAGGTCCCTTTGAGACAAGGTTGAGAGGATGAAGTAAACGGAGGGCAGAGCAGTTGGAGCCAAGAGACAGCTCGGAAAGCTCTTGTCCTTACCGTGGCTCATGGAGGGGCCCGCTCTGCTCCAGCATGGTGAACTCGCAGTGCTGGTAGGTGTACTGGGAATACTCGGTGAGGCCGCTCACCGGGTTCTTCTCCTGACAAGCAATCAGCTTCCCTATAGTTGTGCAGTGCAGAGCAGCTTCAACCTGGGAGACGTAACTGCGGAAGGAGGGAGCGTTCACGACACCCCCTGACCCATCAGGTTTCTGGTTGATAGAGTTCAGGTTATCCGGGATGTCATCCGTGGCCCACTTGCTGTTGTCAGAGTTATTGTAGTTAATGAAACTGGTGAATTCAGGCTTGCTGTCAGGCACGGCTGCTTCCGTGTTGCTGGCATCGCCCTCATCTGTTTGCCCCAATGACCACTGCCCGTTTTCTCTTCTTCCTTCTTCTGATGTCGTTGCTGCTGGCCAAGCGACCGTCCTCTCCGGAGGTTCCGGAGGAAGAGACGGGGATGGAAAGGTCAACTCGGCCGCGGGACCCGCTGTCCTTGCGGCCGCGCTGGCCTTCAACCTCATCTGCATCCGCTCGCGTTTCCTGGTTGTGAGAGACCACTGCGGGGGGCTCGTGTTCTGTTTGCGGACATCTCCCAGCTTTTCCAGAGCACTGAGAAAGGCATTGACGTCTCTGGCCCTTGAAAACCCGATGTTTTTGGCAATGTTGAGCGCCGTCGTCTCTGCCACACTGAACAAATAGTTGCAGATTTTCTCCTTAGTCTCGGCCATTGTGGGAACGTTTCTGGAGGCACCTGCCCCGCTTTCTTCTTTGACCTCAAAGGGAGGATCTGTGTGACAAACCCTGTGGTCAGGGAGGCTTCCTTCTCTCTCCGCAGCAGGGCAGGGAATCATCCACAGCGGTGGCGTCTCCTCGCCTTTGTGCAGCTTGCCCTCCCTGAGCAGTTTATACAGAGCACGGTTGACTTCCTTCTTCTGAGTTTTAAGCTTACGTGCGAGTTCATACACGGTACAAGTCTTCCCCTGCCCAAGCTGCCTGAAAACAGCCAGAATTTCCTGCTCGCAGCTTTGCCTGGCCAAGGACAATCTCTGGAGATTCAGCCTGATGCTGTCGGAGGGCCCTTCCGAGCTCTCGGCGCTGGGCTGAGGAGCGCAGAAACGCAGGGCACTTTTGGCACCCTGGCTCTTGCCGGAGGATTTAGGCCATCCCGGGTGGCTGGGGCTGACTTGCCACCTCTCGGGAGGAGCCGGCGCCGCTGCTTGGGAGCCAGCGGCACGCGGCTCGCACGGCTGGCGCGCTCCCCCACGGGGGAGG